CCGCGGCACCCCCTTTTTTTTTTCTCCGCCAAGGCTTTTTGTACTGAACCCAGCAAAGCTATATGGGATCTCTTCATGGACTTTTCTCTCCTGCAAACTGACGCACGGCACTTTGCGTTGCGCGACATCCTGGCCTTCAAACGCCGCTGGCCGTACTACTTCATCATGGTTGTCGACCCCTTGCTCCGTTTCGCGTGGATCTTCTACGCCATCTTCACCCACGACCTTCAGCACTCAACCCTAGTCGCCTTTGTCGTGTCCTTTGTCGAGATTGTCCGCCGCGGACTGTGGGCTCTTTTCCGCGTTGAAAATGAACACTGCGCCAACGTCTCCCAGTACAAGGCGTCCCGCGACGTCCCGCTCCCATATCGCATTGAACCGCTCATGGACCGCGCCAGTGAAGAAACGTCTCCTGTGTTGACGAGCGACGAGCCCAGGCACGAGTTGGCGCAGTCGACGGGCGGCTCTACGGCCGTGGCGTCGACACTGGGCGCGTTGCGCCGGCGCGCGGATACGATTAGCGCGCGGTCGTTTTCCAAGATCCTTGCCGAGGCGCACAAACAGGATTTTGTGAAGAGGCGCAAGCCAGGTGAAGCAGCGGAGGGCGAAGCCGTCGAGCAGAGCGACGACGAGGACGACGAGGAAGATGAGGCCGAGGCAGCGAGCTTGTTGGAGGCCGGTGAGGCTAGAGGTTGACGAAGCGAGGGCCGTCATGTGGGTGTCATTTTTTCCATAGCATGAAAAAGCGCGCATGCAATATTTGCAAGTTTTATATTCTAGATCGTATGTCTAGGTTTATACTCTATGGTGTGCGTGATCCGCCATCTCATTACAAGAAATGCTCTCTTGGAACTCCTCATCCATGATACCAACGTCTAGATGCACAATGGTTAAAAAATAAAGACGTCGCTTCAGGACCACTCCCCGTCTATTTGCTCCCACAAGTCCAAGAATCCCTTGAAATACTTGACGCCCAAGCCAGGGTCCAGGGCACCCGTCGTCGCGCGAACAGAATGCATGCTCAACTGCGCCAGCCCGGCGTCTGCGGCCTTGCAGCCCATGGCGCTTGACAAGGAAGGACCGATTGTGCCACCGCTCCTCGAATCGTTGCGGATCTGGAAATCCTGGGTCTTGGCACCGATAATCTCACCTACCCTTCGCAGTATGGCGGTCGACACGGCGTCTGTGGTCATGTGGCCGTTGGAGTCGCCGCAGATGGCTATGCCAACGTTCAGCTGCGGCACGTGGCCGTCCAGATATGTCTCTAGGAAGTTGGGGTTGCCGGCGTGGGTGACGTCCGCCGAGAGGAGGAACGACTTGGCGTACGTTTGGCCGAGGAGGCCGGGCCCGTAGGTGGATGGGTTGAGGGCCTCGACGGTGCGCTCAACGACAATGGGGAGGAAGTTGCTGCGGGCGCCCTGCCGAAGCAAGGAGCCGATTTCCTCGTCGTCGAAGAGCGCGACGAGCTTGATGTAGCTGTCGTCGGGGTTGGTGTCGGCGGCAAGGAGACCTGTCAGGGCGGCCCAGGAGCAGAGCTTGTCGTCGATCCGGCCGGCCGTGATGAACTCCCTGTCCATGCCCATTGTTTGCGCAGGCTGGCTGTCGTACAGCTCGAGCTCCCAGTTGAGGATGGAGGCGTAGCTCGTGATGCCGAGCTGCTTGGCGATGAGCTGCACGAGCCTGGGCGGCTGGGTGTTGACAAAGGCGCCCTCGGGGCCGAGAGGCTCGGCGTCCTGCTGGGACGAGCTCTGGAGCCCGATGACGGGGACGGCCTGCGTCTCCTTGTTGTTGTTGCCAAACATGCCGACGCCAAAGTGAGGCGCGAGCGTGGGGATCTTGGCAATCGGCCAGTCGAGCTTGACGAGCTTGGTGGACGTCTTGCCGGTCTCGGGGTCGCGGACCACGACGCGGCCGCCGATGCTGAGGTCGCGATCCCACCAGGTCTGGTTGAGACCGCCGGCGTACTGGGCCACGCCGAGCTGCACGTAGCCTGCTTTGCTGGGCCGGTTGCTGATGGGCTTGAGGCGCGCGGTGAGGGCGTCGATGTGCCCGCCGATCATGGCCACGCCGCTGCCGGGCTTGTAGGCGGCGCCGACGGTGAAGGCGATGATGGTGCTGCCGTTGCGAGTGACCCAATACTTGCCTCCGGGGTGAAGTTTTCCATTCCAAGAGTCTCGCGCGGAGAGCTACGTTGCGTTAGTACTCTTTTGATGACGCCAATCAACTTGGGAGTTTGTTTGTGTCTGGCGTACCTCTTCAAAGCCGCTGTCACTCAACTTGCGCTTGAAGTAGTCGACGGTGTGGAACACGGTGGGATTCTCCTGCAGGAAGTCGCAGAATGGCTTGGTGAAGGCCTCGGGTTTGCATTGTGCGACTTGGCAGAGGCGGCAGGCTTGGTCCTGTGCGAGATGCCAGTTGACCTGGCCGATTTCGCTGGACGTCAGCTTGGAGATGCAGCTCGCGCAAGCGCGATTCTCGCGGGGTGTGCGGCCGTCCATGTCGGCGAGGATGAAGTTCTTTGATTTGGGGGATGCGGCTGTGGTGGTGGTGGTGGTGACGGGAGCTGGAGCTGACGCTGGAGGCTGACGCATCGGCAGCACAGAAGGCTGGTGGCTGGGCATGGGCGTCCGTCTCGTCATTGTCCGCTACTTGTGTGCAATGGCAGGAGGGTGGAATGGACGTGGTGGGAGTCGGGACAGCAGAGTCTGGTCAGCGGCGAGTGATGCGAAAAAAGAAGGGGAAGGGAGTTGCGAGAGGAAGAGGCCGACAGTGACGGCGGTGACGGCGATGGACGGCAATGTGACGAGGTGGGTCCGAGTCAATGTGACTGAGAGAGAGACTGGCCTGTCTTGTGGCGTTGCCGGGCGCCGTCGTACGAGGCGGTTCAATGTTGGCGCCCAGACTCTGGTCAACTACGGAGTACCGAGTCGCCATGACCGTGTGAAGTCGAGACTCCATAGAGGTATTGAACCAATCCAGGATCTGCTCCTTGTCTATCAAGCCCAAGGGTCCTCGATGGCGTCGGGCCGCCGTCCTCCCTCATGTCTCGGTTGATCCACCTGCCTCTTGACAGTCTCAAGGTATGTACGGCGCCGTATCAAAAGTCTGTCAAAAACCCCACTTTTACACCAAAACTCACCCTAAACACTCTCTTAAAAAATATGATATTTATTAGAATAAATACTTAAAATAATACTAATATATAATTTATTATATATATTTTTATATTTTATAAAAAAATTTATTATATTTTCTTTTATTTTTATAATATTAAGGTTTAAAGTTAACCTTTCGTAAAAAAATCTATTATAGAGGGTTTTAGTAGATCTTATAGCGGGGTGAGATTTTTACTCTCTCTTTACATGAAGATATTTACCTTATAAATAATATTTAATAAAAAAAAATTATATATTAATAAATATTAAGTATTTATTAATATAAATATAAGATATCTTTTATTTTTATTAAAAGCTGATAGAATAATAAGGTAGTGTTTAAGGCGACTTTAGCTGTAAAAGTGGGTTTTTGACAGACTTTTGATACGGCACTGTAGCATGAACGCGGGGACGACCCTGAAGCCCTACGAGAAACAATGTCAACATTGAACCACCATTCCACCCTACGGAATACCAAGGCTTCTACAAAACGCAACAGCATCATTTGTTTGAGACATCAGACATATTTGTGAGCGATGTGCGCAAGTTAGTGCAGCCCCGTGAAGCAATTTCATCAAACTAGGGCTATTATATACAACACTGCACATTCGACACAGCAGATGCGTGCAATTCGTTCATCCTTAGAGTCCGGCCACCCTGCCCAGTGCTAGGCTCAGTGCTTGCCCAGCATCTTGAGGTCTTTCAGGATGTTGGCATCTTTCTTGCCCGCGGTCGCCAGCACCCCGACCAGCGCTGTCAGCAACGGCTCGAGCGCCACGCCGAGGGCAACGGGGCTCAGAGTGCTGCTGAGCTGCGTATTCCGCGAGCAGCCGCCGGGGACCGCGCCGGCAAAGGCATCCTCGACAAATTGGAGGGCGTCGAGGATGGCGACGACCTCGGTGGTGACGTGTCCGCCGTTGGCAAACGTGGTGAACTTGACGTTGGCGCCGTAGCCGCACCACGTGTCAACCAGGGCAGAGGCATTTGCGTACGGGACAACCTCGTCATTGCTGGCGTGGTAGACGAACACGGGCGCGCTGGGCGTCTCGTTTTTGTGGACGCCCATGGTGTTTTGCTGCAGAACCGCCACGACGTCCGGGTGGTGCAGGAGGCCGGGGCCGAGGCTCTGGATGCCGGTGGACAGCACCGACTGCTCCGGGAAGGCGATGAGGTTGGCGACGGCGCAGTTGGCGTTGGCGAACTTGAGCACGTCTCGGCCGCGCGGCGTGACGATGCTTTCGACGAGGGCGCCCAGCTGCGCGCCGTACGCGCTTGGTTTCGTCAGGCCGTTGATGGCGCCGGGCAGGAAGCCGCTGAACAGGGTGTTGTCGATGAATGTCAGGATGCCCGTTAGGTTGGCCGGCGTGCCGCCTTGCACCCAGCCCTTCACTGTCAGCTCTGGGGCATACGTCGGTTGCAGGGAGGCCGCCCAGCCGGTCGCGATGGCGCCGCCAGAGTACCCGACGCCGACAATCATGGGGGTGGACGTGGAGAAGTGCAGCGTGTTTTCGAAATTCACCACTGCTCGCATGCCGTCTAGGACGCCCATGCCCTCGAGTCGGCCGGGGCTGAAGGCCGTATCGGGCCCTTCATAGTCTGGTGACGCCACGATGTAGCCGGAGAGCAGGTAGGTCTGCAACAGGAGAAACTCGGCTGACGAAATCAGGTCAACCCGCAGGGCACCCAGTTGGTAGCTGTAGCTGGGGTTGCAAATGGAGGCCGAGCTGTCGTATGCCGTGTGGAACGAGACGAAGCGGTCCGTCTTGGGGAAGAGAGGCTTAAAGATTGTCGTCACTGTGGCAATGGGCGAGCCGTCGATGGCTGTTGTGCGATAGAGGAGTTGCCATGTTTCCACCGGGTCTGGGATGAGTCCGAAAAAGGACGATATAACAAGGCGTTGGCGTAGAATGGTGCCGGGCGCTTTGGATTCGAAGCCCGTAGGCGGCTTATAGAAGGGATCTATGCTTGGGGGAAGAGCTCGTGGCTGGTTCAACGCCCGACTTGAGACGAGAGGGAGGCTGACGGCGACTAGGCCGAGGAAGCGCAACAGCGAAATCAAGAGGATGCGGGACATGGTGACGGTGGCTGCTGAGAGGGATGATCAGAACCCCAGTCAAGGTTTGTCTGAGATACAAGGTTTGAAAGAACAAGACGTTATTTGGGGTCCATGGGAGCAGGCCATGAATCAAAACATTCCAAAGAGGACACAACATTAATATATCTATACATGTATATATAACTCCCCGCTCTCCGTATAAAGCGTCGCTTGCCTGGGTGTCATCCATTACGGTCTTGGCTCCTCCTCACTCGGATACTTGCGAAGCTCTGCTCTGTCGCATCTGAAATGCCACTGCTATTCTCGTACCTAGACACCATGGTTACATCTCTAGTCAACCCGAGAGCTGGTGCCAGCCTAAAGTCTTGAACAGTACAACCCTACGTGGCAAGTTGTCTAGGACAAGCAGGCGTTGGACGACGTCGACCAACGCCGGCGCTGGAAAATCACTGTGTAGCTGATAATACATGGTTATCCCCTTGATCCGCTACTGCAGCTTTGGTGTGCTTCTATCCCGTTTTGCAACCCACCAGTTGACTAGTCGACTAGTCTAGGAAGAGACTGGTGTGTCTGAGCGACAGGTGGAACCAGGAACGGCCTGGGAAGAAGAAGCTGGGCAAGCAAATCCGGGGACGAAACCCTGGGGAAGAAATCTTGGAGAGTGTCGGCAGCCGAGGCGGGGGAATGGTGAGACACATGATGCTCTTCCTGCCGTATGGTTAGACAGGACAATGTAGTCGTTTCATCGTATGCTCACCACGCTAGCATGGACATGCGCTGTGATGCAGGTCTAATCCCACCTCAATCTCCCCCTTCCCATCGGGATGCCCCAAGGCCCGTTAACCCTAACCTCCAGTAAAACTCATCGGAGAACTCGGCGCCTCAAGGCCCGAGTCTTACCAGCTTCGCCTGCGGGTGATTTGTCTTCACATGCTCAATGGCCAGCTGTATCGCCCGTGACCCAAACCCATTCCCTGATGGCAGTGACTCAGTGAGCAATTATAAAGCGCCATAAAGTCTGGTGTCATTCTTCCGGGCCCCAGATGGACGTGATGAGAAATTCGACGTACGTGTCTTCGGTGTAGATGCCCCGCGCCCATGCGCCCTCAGAGTAGTAGGGGACGGGAGGGCCATAAGGCCTGTCTTTTATTTTCGGAGGGCGATGACTGCAGATTTGGTTACGGGTATAGAGGTGGCCGTTTTGCGAGCATCCTGTGTCGCCTGTTGTTGGAGGATACGGACAATGATGTTGGTTCGGGGGAAAAGAGATGGCGTAGGGAGACCTTGAGCATGATTGCACATTGAGGTCGTTCATTTCCGAGGCTGAAGTTGAGGGCGCGCCGATGCTGGAAAGTCAACAGCCCATTCTTGCAAAGGGCGTCCAGTTCTCTCGCCCGGCACAGTCAATGGCGAGGAAAGATGAAGCAGGATGGTCAATTCCCTCCGCCATTACTCATAGTCAAGCCATTTGGATGGACAAGTGATATATGCAACTGAGAGCCAGCAAGACCACAATGTGTGGTACTTTGAAAAAGTCATGCTGAGCCTACCGCTTGTTTTATTCGCACACTTGGACGACATCTGGGGCCTTCCCGCGCTGGGACACAGACGACGTCTTCTTGCACCTGCGGAACTCGCCATTGCTTCAGTTAAGCCCCTCCCGGTCCAAGCATTAAATAAAACTGAATTAAGCTTGACTGTCGCCGCAACTAACAACCGCCTGTCCTTGCCATTCATGCGTTTCCACGACAGCGGACCTGCAGTTGGAGCTTTACGCAGCAACTCAGCTCAACTCCGGGTTGGGCTTCCCGAACGTACAAATCGTCGTGAAAGCCGACTTAACGCCGGGTAGATTGCCCAATCTGCCCACTCAGCCGCTCGGTCCCGAAAGTACTATGCTGTCTGGTCAGCTTTGTCCTGAACCGTGCGGTGCTGCATACTGCTGTCTCGGAAACTTGCCGAGAGGTTCTTTCCTCATCGGAGCGAAATGCACCACACACATGGAAGAAAACTCCATTAGCCAAAGACAGTCCGCACATTGCGGGGTGAACTATGACCGCACAAAAAATCCCTGATGGTCTACGGAGACGATAGAAGACTTCGCTTGCGTCTTTTGGCCCTGATGCCTGTAGATAAGTGGACATTTCTACACCAAATATTCAGGATACACGGTGTACAACAGCATTTTCTTTGCAACGGGGACAACCACCTACCTCCATTCGCTCCTCATAGGCATGGAATCATCTGATAAGATTTGGTCAAGGTGGTATTTCCAACTTGTTCCCGCACTATTTGCCAGTTTTGGCATCCCCCGAGGATATCCAGCATCCGGATCAGGACCATCATCTCTTGGCGTTTTCGAGTTTCGTGACGCTCGTCCCGAATCACCAATTACATTTCATTCTGCATC